AATAAACAGAGGACTGTGTCTGAAAACAAAATTATTCCAACTTATATGGACAACAGTGTATATATATATACATATATGTATATATATATATATATATATATATACACACACACACAGACACACACACACACACACACATGCAAAATACATCTCTCAGATGTGCTGCGATGCATCGTCAGTGATGTTCCCGGTGACCTAGCCATGATTGCCCGAGTCCTGACTTGCATCCCAACAGCAACAAGCCACGGGCTTGCCCTCTCTATCCAAAGCCACTTGTGGCTCTCTCTGGACCAATGGCCCCCTTCTTTGCTGCGGAGATCTCCAGCCCAGTCAGGGCTTTACAGAGAGAGAAGCCTGTGAATTGGCAGCCCACTTTAATTGGGATGCAGCGAGCCCGCTAACCATGCTGTCTGCACAGCTCCACCAGCTGCTTGTATTAGATGAGTCTCTGAGGAGCAGCAAGCAGGCTCTGGAGGACAAGCAGCAGGAGAGAGGAGACTTATGGAGGAAGAGACGGGTCAAATAATCCATGTGGAGATCAGACCAAGGAGGTTCAGGGAAAACCAAAGAAGAAGAAATCTCTGAGGAAATGATTCCTCCAGCTCTTCAGATGAACTGGGGGAGGACCAACCTCACTCTGACCCCCCAACAACATCACCCCTGACTGTACTCCTCCTCTCTCTCCTCACCCTCCCTAACCCTTTCACCCCCAACCTCTCTCTCTCCTGCTTTACCCCCCACCCCTCTTCTCTTCAGCCTCACAGATCATGATGATATTGTGAATAAAAAATGCATAGAATCTGATTCTGAACTTTTCATTTGAAGTAGAAGGAGATCCTTTAAAAGATAACTGAACAATCAGAGACAAAACAGTATACCATCATCAACTTACATACATATAGAAATGGAAGGTGGGTTTGAGTCATCAATTATTGTCTATAAAATGACAGAAAATATTAAAAACTTGTCATTAGACTTCAGCACAGATCAAGGTGACATATTCTCTTAGTTTTAATTTGACATACATGACATGAAGAGTTTGAAGAGTCTAACATTAGAAGGTAAACAGGTGTTCCTTATAAAGTGCTCGCTTAGTGAAGGTGGACTAATTAACTAATTATCTCTTATTACTTCTGAACACTAGGGGGCAGCAGTGGTACAGCACATTTAAACAACTGACAGAGAATAGATCAAAACAAGCTCAGTTGTTACTCTACTGTGGTCATATGTGTTACATCACAGCATCTTCTGAACAAGATGGCTGACATGTTTTCTGGTGTTCCAGGAGCTCAGGGGGTCAACAGAATCCAGATCAGTGCTGGTCGTGGTTCAGAAATTTTAAAAGTAGAGAGGTGGTGACAGGAGCCCTTTAGAATCTCAAAAAACTGAAAACTGACATCACCTCTGACATCACAGATTATCCCTGTTTCTACCTGGTCGGCTGTTTAAGGCCCCACCCCTGCTCCTGGTCTCGCTGAGGATGGATGGTCTCATCTGTGGAGGTGAACTGAGCTGATGACGACGATGATGAATATGGCCCTGTGGGATGCAGATGGAGCTCTGACAGGAGTTTAATTGGTGAGTCAGGTGAGAGCTGCCTGTCAGCAGGTCGTTAACACATCAGCAGCTCGGTAACGATCGGCTTGGTAACGATGTTCCAGTTTGATCAGCTGAGATTGAACCAGTCTCCCAGTTCACCCACAGTCACCAGACTCAGAGTGTTACTGGTCACAGGTTCACACTATTCAGCCTGGTCTAAGACCCCCCCCCCCCACACACACACACACACATGCTCCCTAGAGGCTACAGAATCATATCCTCTGAACCACATCAGCAGAGTGACGGGGTAAGCAGTGCATCCTGGGAGATCCTACAAACAACAAGCTGCATCCAGAGCATCTTAGAAATTATGAATTCTCATGGGGCCAGTGATTATCTGTGGATGACCTACAGAGTGTGAAATGAGAGCAGGTCCCTGCAGGAGACACAGAGAGAGACTTCAGAAGGATTCATCACGTCAGTCAACATTAAATCTTCTTCTTTATTATATTACTCACTGATCCTGGTCCCAGAGTTCACTACAGCACAGTTAGAGGGTCCTCTAGACCCTGAACCTGAACCCCTACACACACCCACCCACCTCCACAACTGGATGTGAAGTTACTTTTAAATAACACTGAAAACACTTTGTACGACTGAAATTAAATTAAAACTGTAGTAAAATTCTGGAGCTTTCAGTCAGATCACATGATGACCATTGTTTCTAAGATTCAGACTGAACATCGTTGGTCAACATCACCTGATGTTTTTTTTCTAATGAACAGTTGTTTTTTCCAATAAACATCTGTGCATATGCATGGTACACATTATAAACATATGTACTGACTGTAACGCTCCACAGACTGAACTGAACTGTGATCCATCACTTCTCCTCTGTCACCAGGAGGCTTCAACAGATTACAGCTAATCTCATTTACAGCAGATAATCTGACCACACACACACACACACACACACACACACACACACACACACACACACACACACACTCAAACACACACACACACACGCACACAGACATAACACACACACTTAGTCTGTGGAAACTTAAAGAGAAAACAGCTAGATTTGATTTGATTAAATAACTGTTTAGAATAAATAGTATTTTTAAATGTACATATTCTAAATTATTTTCATATTCGTTTTTATATTTCAAGCACATATATATCTTATAAATTAGCATTTCTAGCATGTATGATGACTGTATTGGACCATGATGTCACAGTTTTCCAGGTTTAAATCTCATGGGATCTGCAGTTGATTTACAGCTCTGTAGTTTTCACATCATGTTCTAATGATCTCCATGAAGTCTGGAACATGTTCAGTTTAACTGATTGATCAGCCGATGAGTCACTGATGAACGTGCAGAAAGCAACAGTTCAACACAAACAGTTTGACTGAAGTTTCTAGTCATAAATAAATGATAAATAATAAATTTGTCATAAACTGAGTTTTTCCTACATGAATTTTTCAATTTATTTTTAATTAAACATCAGGAAACACTGATGAGGTTTTTACTTCAGGATACATCAGTGAAATAAAGACCGAATGGACCTGTGAGAAGACGTGTTCATGAGACTGAGAACATAAGACAACAAACATGACATATTATAAGTGAATTGAGATTGAGATTTAAGGAGGAAACATGTAGAAAGTTTAACGTGAAGAAGATGTTTAAAGTTAGATTTCTAGATTTTAAAACAGATTTTTAAGGTTTTTTACCTAAAATCTTGAAAGCATTTTCTCTGAACTGAACAATTCAAATGTTTGAACAGTAACAAGCAGCACTGGTTTCAAGACTGGTCCAGATCAGGAGCAGCAGTGGTTTCCAGACTGATCCAGATCAGGAGCAGCAGTGGTTTCAGGGCTGATCTGCATTAGGAGCAGTAGTGGTTCCAGACTGATCCAGATCAGGAGCAGCAGTGGTTTCCAGGCTGATCCAGATCAGGAGCTGCAGTGCTTCCAGGGATTGGTCCAGATCAGGAGCAGCAGTGGTTTCTTTGTGATCCAGATCATGAGCAGCAGTGGTATCAGGGCTGATCCAGATCAGGAGCAGCAGTGGTTTCTTTGTGATCCAGATCATGAGCAGCAGTGGTATCAGGGCTGATCCAGATCAGGAGCAGCAGTGGTTTCTTTGTGATCCAGATCATGAGCAGCAGTGGTATCAGGGCTGATCCAGATCAGGAGCAGCAGTGGTTTCTTTTTGATCCAGATCATGAGCAGCAGTGGTATAGGGCTGATATAGATCAGGAGCAGGAGTGGTTTGCAGGCTGATCCAGATCAGGAGCAGCAGTGGTTTCAGGGTTGATGCAAACCAGCTACAGAAGTGGTTTTCAGGCTGATCCAGATTAGGGTCCATCTCTGCCCTGCAGCCTGTCTCTCAGGTGCTTCCTTTGACCTGTCAGATTCATGTGCAGTAAATAAAGACCATGATGCAGACAGAGACCGACTATGTTTTAGTGAGGACTACAGGACTAGGGCCGAGCTGGGATTATCTTCTGGAGGATTGTCCTGCTGGAGCAGGAGGTGGACTCTGAAGTCTCACTTAGCTAAGAGGATTTACTAAGACTGGAAGGAATCTAAATAAAGAGTCAGCTCCAAGCCCTTTTCATCCACACAGGGACAAAAAAAGATGCTGGATATATTTATCAGAGCAGAACATCATCATCATCATCATCATCATCATCATCATCATCATCATCATCATCATCTGAGATGTGAAGATGCAGTGAAACCTGAGACTGACTGTTTTACTGAGGACTACAGGACTACATTTTTAAAACCTGATCACCTGAACAATAAATTAGTTCAGTTTAATGATGGATAAAGCTTGTATCAAAAGCATCAAATCTCCTGTTGCCATGGTAACATTAATGCCCACAAGAAGAGATGAGATTAAGGTGGAGCCACCACCTCCCATCAGGACACTGTTAGAAAACTGAGAACACTGTGAGAACACCAGGAGAAAACTGAGAACACTGTTAGAACACTGCGAGAACACCATTAGAACAATGTGAGAACACCAGGAGAACTCTATTAGAACACTATGTGTGTGTGTGTGTGTGTGTGTGTGTGTGTGTGCGCGTTTTGTGTTTATAGAAAAAAGTCTTAGATCTTTTTTTTCAAATGGATGAAAAATTGGAATAAAAACAAAAGTGTTTATATTTTTGCTCAGTGTATTTTGTTTTTACACTTAATGGTAATTAGTGTCATTATGTTGTTACCTAGGCAATCTGCAGGTCCATACAAAGAGAGGTTTGACTGTGGAAATATGCAAAACAGGAACAGCTACAAAGGTGTGTTTCTTCTGCTGCCATCTGATTCTCAGCTGCTTTAGTTTCCTCCCCCTCCTCCTCCTCCCCTCTCCTCCTCCCCTCCCTTCATCGTCTGCTGAGAGGTGCAGCAGTGAGGATGAACAGAAGCAGCTCCACCACAGCAGAGGATGGTTCTGTCCACAGAAAAGCTCCAGTCTTGTTTTGTACAGTGACTCATGTCAGACGACGGACAATAACTCCTTCACAGCGGGATCTGTAGAACTGGACCAGGACACCTGTACCAGGACACCTGGAGTCCTCAGTCTCCTGTTTGATGGGACAGAGGAAGAGCAGCTCACCCTGACCTCTCCTTACTGTCTGGACATCATCACTCACACTGAGGTAAACTACAGTTACACACAGACAGTGGTTGTTGTTAAAGTGACAGTATAAAAGTGAGAAGAGAGCAACTGTGAGCTCAAGCAGTCTCAGGCTGAAGGTCTAATTTTAGCTGAAGTAATCTGCGAGAGGAGGATTGGAGTTAACACTGCTAAAGAACAAACATGAGGAGCTAATGAGACTAAACACAGGTAGACATGTTCACCTGCTGACGGAGGTGTGTGTTCAGTGTGTGTGTATGTGTGTGTGTGTGTTTGTGTGTGTTCAGAGTGTGATTCATATCTCATTAACCTGGTGAAGACAGCAGCTCTAACATATAGTTATAGGCAGGAAACAACTCAATCAGATCACTTCCTGTTTGTATATAAATATATATCTACAGTGTCAAGATTAAAACTGAAATTCATTTGTATTTTTATAGTTAAGATGAAATAAAGTTTCTTCAGGACTAGGATATAAAACTGAAAATCATGAAATCACTGAGGAACAAACAAGAAGTGAGTGTGTGTGTGAACATTAAAACCAGTATGACCAGTCCACTGGAGCAGCTCCCAGTTCAGTGCTGGGTCAGGGTTTGAAATGTTCTCTACATACAGGGGTGGATGGGTGAATGAGCCAGCTTCTCTAACACACCTCTGTCTGCTGGATCCAGCACACACTGCTGATCCTGATCTGATACTGTGTGTTTTAAGATCATGTATATTCACATTCTATGTAGACACCATGTAGACTATGTAGACTCTGTAGACTCTATGTAGATGTTATGACCCCGAGAAAAAACTGTTACCCAAAGAGGTCTAACATAATTACACAAATCAAGAGTTGCAAAAAGGAAAACTATCTTTTATTTAAACATACAGAGGACACATGACCATCAATCAAAAAGGTTAAACCTAACTTACCGCAAAGCCTCCCCAACTAACTATGAGCTGGGGGGCCGGCAAAAAAGAACAAAAGAAGGGAAGCCACTTACAGGACCCTACAGGTCCATCGACACCGGGCTCTTCCCTCTACCTTAACCAAACATCCCCAAACTAAACCCTTAACAACAGAAATAAAACCGCAAAACTGAACCACCGGACCCACCAGAAAAAGGCAAAGGAAAAAAAAAAAAAAAAACTACATTTGGCCACTTTGCTGCTGCTGCTGCTGCTGCTGCTGCTGCTACTGCATCTGATGTCAGGCCAGGAGTGAAAAAAAATGACAAACTAGAGTCCCCTCCCCCTCTTTATTCACTCCTCAATCACCCTAAGCAGCTTCACCTGGAGAAAGGAAAAACACAGACCATGAGTCAGTGACATCACATGATCAGAAGGGTGGAGCATGTAACAGTTGACTCTGTAGACTCTATGTATACTCTATGTAGACTCTGTAGACACTATGTAGACTCTATAGACACTATGTAGACTCCGTAGACTCTATGTAGACTCTGTAGATTCTGTAGACTCTATGTAGACTTTGTATACTTTTTAAACTCTGTAGACTCTGTAGACTCCATGGACTCTATGTAGACTCTGTAGACTCTATGTAGACTTTGTAGACTCTACTTAGACTCTATGTAGACTCTGTAGACTCTGTAGACTCTATGTACACACTGTAGACTCTGTAGACTCTATGTAGACTCTATGTAAACTGTGTAGACTCCGTAGACTCTATGTAGACTCTGTAGACTCTATGTACACACTGTAGACTCCGTAGACTCTATGTAGACTCTGTAGACTCTATGTAGACTTTGTATACTTTATGTAAACTCTGTAGACTCTATAGACTCTGTAGACTATATGTAGACTCTGTAGACTCCGTAGACTCTATGTAGATTCTATGTAGACTCTATGTTGACTTTGTATACTTTATGTAAACTGTGGATTCTGTAGATTTTGTAGACTCTGAAGACACTGTGGACTCTTAGTAGACTCTGTAGACTCTATATAGACTGTGTGGACTCCATGGACAGAGGTCTGGACATGCACATGAAAAACTAGAGGGCTCAGTTTATTCCCACATGTTGGAGTCACCTGTCTTGGACCTTGTGGACCTGTGGTTTGAACACACTACACAAAGTCCAGGAGGGATCCCAAACTGGTCTCTGTTGTTTCTACAGTGTCCCCCAGGTCTGTGTCAGGGTCCAGAACACCTGCAGGGGGTCAGAGAACCTGACAGTTTGACCTATCAAATACAAGAGCTGGTAAATCTTTATTACTGACTGCTGCTAATGTTAACAGCTCCAGCTAGTTATTTCACATCATTCTTGGTTTTCAAAAGAGTGGTTTACGGAGCTGTTTCTGACCATTTTCAGTTCTTTTTGTTGGGCAGCTTAAATTGATAAGAATGTAGACAGTCACTACTGAATACATAGACTGCTGACTTTGATTTTACTGTCTATATTGTTTATATTTACTGTATTATGTGTGATGACTGAATAAAAACTACTTCACTACTACAAGCTGTGACAGTTCTAAAATGATCCTCCAATAAAGTGACTACATATCTGAAATAAAAACCGGGTACATTTCCAGTTTGGCGGTCAATAAATCATTAAAATATCCAACGTTTTTACTTCTGAAATAAAAAGGGGGCAGTCATGTATTTTGACCATGGCAACTGTTGTATTGTAATAAACTATTGTGAAAGCCGACAGATAAAATGACGACTCCCTACCTTTGAAGCAGTCGTGAAGTTTGTTGGAAGTATGTTTGTTTTTGTTAGTTTACTTCCCGGTTATGAACTCCTAATCAATGAGTGAGCCAGCTAACCTTTTCTCTGCCAAGAGAAAACAACAAAAAAAGAAAAATCTGATTGAATAACTCTATTCTAACGGTTTTAGCTTCACTTCAGAAGCTGCTACAGCTAGCAGCCAGCCCACTCTGTTGGGCAAAACAAGCACAACACTAGACTTCTGCATTTAATTACAAACGTAAAAAACGGGGACATTTCCAGGGACAGTCCCCGTTTTTGGTGGCCTGTCCACGGGAAACAGGGACATCTGGTCACCCTATCCTCAGAAGATTCTTTAATGTCACATCCGTCATCTCTTGAAGTGAACACACATACAGTTTAAGGCTATTGATCTAGGAGTGTTAAAGAAAAACACCCTAATGTCTCTGATGTGTGTACAGTGTACAGCTCTGAGTCCCCACCTCTATGATGAACTTGATGAGTAGACTCATGGTTAATGTGTGTGTCTCCAGGCTGATGGACACCCAGGATCAGACCTCTTCAGTGGGGACAGGACTCCTGTCCAGGTGAGTCTCACCATTGACTCAGTGCTCACACTTCACCTGAGACACCAAGAAGTAGAATGTTTCTAGAGCACATACACAGTGAAGGGAGCTGATATTAAAATGGTATTTTACCAGTTGATAAACCAATGATGTCATTGTGATCTATTTCCCGAGGCTGTCCCACATGAAGAACAGTGTTGGACCTGCAGAGTCCGTGTCCTGCAGCCAGAGGACGGAGGACAACATGAGGAGCAGGAGCAGGTGGGTTGGAGGAGCACAGAGAAATGATGAGACGTAGCCTCCGTGACGCTACCCACAGGTTTATGAAGAGCGGTTCTGAAGCTGCTACATTGTTGCCATTGTGCCTCCCTCCTATCTAATCCAAATATGGGCAAAGAAATGGGGCGTGTGGAGCTGAGACTTCAGTTCATGTTGGTTTGATAACGATACTCTCCTGTTAGCATCATTTGCACAGCTGGCCATCTAGCTAGAAGGCTAACCCAAGGCTCATTCAGCTGCTGGCTACTACTTAGCTAGTTAACGAGCTAAGCTAACAAGCCAGACACCAATACCTGCTAATTAGTGCTAACAAATAAATAAAATAATAGTATCATTTCACTAGTTCACTAGAAATGTATTAAATTATTTTTTTATACCAGGCTGTAAACATGTTTATTTCTGCTCTAAAGTTGAACATTTTAACATGGGAGTCTATGGGGACTCTCTGTTGAAGCCAGATTCTAGTGGTCATTAGAGGAACAGCAGGTTTTGACACTTCAGTATTGGCTTCAGTTTTCACTCACTTAGATGTCTGGACAAGAAACACACATGGATGTTATAATCTCTTTGTTGTTGGACTGAATGAACCTAAGGAAGCAAATCTTCAGATTTAATAATTAGTTCAAGGCTGAGAATCTGACCTTGAGTCCCATCCTTCAGTCCACACTGTTCAGAATAGTCTACAGTCAGACTGTTACTATGGAGACCACAGAGATTTACAGTGGCCCATATGAAGTAATAATAAGTTCTACGTTCCCTCTGAGAAAAGGCTGCAGGTGCACTAAATAAAACATAAAACATTTTTAGAGAGAGAAAAAGATCATAGTAAGAACACACTACATCTGGGCGCCCTGGTGGCTCACCAGGTAAAGTATGTAAGATTAAAACTCAGTCCTACCCACAGTGGCCGTGAATTCAAATTCAACTTGCAGCCTTTTGCTGCATGTCATCCCGTCTCTCTCTCTCTCTCCCTGACTTTCCTGTCTCTTTAACTGTGGCTGTCAATAAAGGCAAAAAATGCTCCAAAAAATAACTTGACTAAATAAATAAAATCAACATTACAAAAAAAAAGCAACTGAACACCTGTACTGTACCTGAGCTAAGACTAGTTATGGTTTGACTGAGGCTCTTTATCTATTGCTTCATGTAGTGTATATAAGGACAAATAGTGTGGGAGAAAATGTGTAACATTAAGTATAAATAAAAATATTTCATCCATCTGTCCAGAACCTGAACCTGTAAAGTCTTGATCAAACCTCTTGCTCTATGTGTTCCTCTTGCAGTGATGGTCGGAGTCCTCTGGCTGCACAAAACATGAACAACTGCAACAACAACGACGGGTAAGATGCTGCTGGATCCACACATGGTTAATAACTGAAACAGCTCTGAAACAGTAGATTTATATACTATGAATGGAGACAGAGCCAATTCACTTCCAAGAAATATGAATATATTGTTAATTTCTTAAACACATCTTGTCAGCCTGGGTGTCCATGCAGTTTTCCTTAAGGTCATATGGTCCAAAAACTGTGCCGGTTTATGGTCACAATATATATGAACAGACAGTGTGAAGGCGATGTGTTCAATAGTAGGTGTACTGTATATATACAGTATATATATATTTGGTGGTCACACAGGTGATGATGTCACTTACAGTCAGTGATGATGCAGAGATCAGAGCAGTGGGAATGCTCCTTGTTTTAACACCTGCAATATACTGTAACATGACTGTTGTGTCACAGCACCCTCCTCAGGCCATCTGACAGTACTGAATGTCAACAAGATTAAACATTATTCCTGCCTCTGCTTATGGACATTTACAGAAAGAAAGATGACAAGAAGGATGAAAAGAAAGACGACAAGAAAGATGAAAAGAAAGATGATAAAAAGGATGACAAGAAGGACGACAAGAAGAATGACAAGAAAGATGATAAAAAGGACGATAAAAAGGAAGAACCGTAAGTAACACTTACTCTTTTTTGCTAACTGCAACTTTCCATAATATTCTAGATGTCTCATTCATAATTTCCTCATAATTCAAACTGACAAAACTGTATGTACCTAGTGAGATAAAGGTAAGAAGCTGTCCCATCATACAACAATCACGCTTTCATTTGGAAAGACAATGACTCTAATCCTTGCCAGAAGTTCTTCTTTTCTAAACTGGATCCTGTTCAGTATAGTCAATGGCTTGTGGTACAAGCAGAACTGGACATAGGTTGAATTGATACCAACACACTTTCTCAGTACCTTACCTTGCTGGACATAAACATGCTTTTTAACAGAACCCCTCCTTTTCTCCTTCAGGAAGGAGGTGTGGATCATGGATCCTTCCACAGACCTGTACTACTACTGGCTGTGCACAGTCTCCATCCCAGTGTTCTACAACCTGATGTTGCTGGTGGCCAGGTCTGACTTTACTGCATTTTGTTTTTCCTCTTAACCTCATAGTAGTTTCAGAGTTTCCTTGTCATCTTGTTGTTTCCCTCTAGGGCTTGTTTTAATGAGCTGCAGTACACAAACACAACACAGTGGATGGTGCTTGACTACATTTCAGATGCCCTCTACTACTTTGACACTTTCGTAAGAGCCAGGACAGGTCAGTGGTGGGAACTTTTCTGAGTGTGTGAGACTTTGAATATATGATAATGCTAATCAATTTCTTATTTGTGCACAGGTTTCCTGGACCAAGGACTGCTCGTAAGGGATGCAAATGTCCTGAAAGAAAAGTACATGAAGACACGTCAGTTCAGATTAGATATCATATCCATGATTCCTACTGATATTGTATTCTTAAAAATTGGAGTGGACAACCCAGAGTGGAGGTTCAACCGTCTCTTTAAGTTAGCCCGACTCTTTGAGTTCTTTGATAGGACTGAGACTCGAACCAATTTCCCCAACATATTCCGAATCGGTAACCTTGTACTTTACATCATCATCATTATCCACTGGAATGCTTGCCTCTACTTTGCCTTCTCAAAGATACTCGGCCTAGGCTCAGACACCTGGGTGTATCCAGACATTAAGAAGAATCCAGAGTTTGCTCATTTGGCCCGGCAGTACATCTACTGCTTTTACTGGTCCACTCTCACCCTGACCACCATTGGTGAGACCCCACCTCCGGTCCGAGACATTGAGTACTTCTTTGTGGTAGTTGACTTCCTCACAGGGGTCCTGATCTTTGCTACGATTGTCGGCAATGTTGGTGCCATGATTTCCAACATGAGCGCTGCACGTGTAGAGTTCCAGGCTAAGATCGACTCTATCAAGCAGTATATGCAATTTCGAAAGGTCACCAAAGACCTGGAGGTGAGGGTGGTGAAGTGGTTTGACTACCTGTGGACAGAGGATAAAACCTGTGATGAGAAGCAGGTGCTGAAGAACCTGCCAGACAAGCTAAAGGCTGAGATAGCCATCAACGTACACCTGGAGACCCTAAGCAAAGTGCGCATCTTTCAAGACTGTGAAGCAGGTTTGCTTGTTGAGCTGGTCCTCAAGCTTCAGCCTCAAGTTTTCAGTCCTGGAGACTACATCTGTAAGAAGGGGGACATTGGCAGGGAAATGTATATCATAAAAGAAGGAAAACTGGCTGTAGTAGCAGATGATGGGGTGACCCAGTTTGTTGTTCTCAGTGATGGGGCGTACTTTGGAGAAATCAGCATCCTGGGTATCAAGGGCAGTAAGGCAGGAAACCGAAGAACAGCTAACATCCGAAGCGTGGGCTACTCTGATTTGTTTGCTCTGTCCAAAGATGACCTGATGGAGGCACTCACCGAGTATCCTGAGGCTAAATATGCACTGGAGGAGAAAGGAAGGGCCATCCTGATGAAAGATAACCTCATAGACATGTCCCTGGCCGCTCTCACCGATGCCAAAGACTTGGAGAACAAAGTCAACCAGATTGAAGCCAGTTATGAGATCATATCAACCAAATTTCGAAAGCTGTCAAACCAGTATGAATCCTCCCAGCGTAAAATGAAGCAGCGGCTCACTAATCTTTCAAACCAGGTCCGAACCCTCAGAGTAGATGATGAGTAGAGCTTGGCTTGGTACTACCAGGCTAAGGGACTCTTCCATTCCTACTGAGGTTGTCCCATGGTAGTGTTGGACTCTGTACACACCACATGACATCTGACCCGCAGCTGGACAGTCTATCTCTATTCATATTTCCCATATATAAAACACAGGCATAAATAGGACCCGACACCTCAATATTGAGTATCATAAAACTCACAGTGGGGAACAGACTTCTTGGTCAGATTCTTGTTTACTTGTCTTTCAAACAGATATTCTGTGATGTCACCATCATCACCACCATTTACTTTATTTTGTTACATTAAAAAGTTTTTGTAGAAAAACAAAATGTTAGTGCTGAGTGACAAAACATATCACAAAAGGTCTCAGAACTGAAATATGAGTCATCTTTGCACCTGTAATCAAGTAATCTAATAGAGTCTATCAGTCTATCAGATAGACTCTTAGCCTTAGTGATCAAGTACAGAGGCATCTGTCAATGCAACGTTTATATAAATCACTCAGGAAAAGTACCAATACCACCACCACTTTGCCTAGATATTCTATAAAATGCAGTTTGACATGAATATATTTGATTCACAAAAATTGTATGATCGTTTTCATTTGACGTTTGTAGCATGATTTTAAAGAAATTATGTTACCTGGGTGTGTATTCAACAACCGCAGACAAGATGCTTTTTGCAGTGACTGCATTCTGCTGATGTAAAAATGCTCAGCTGTAATATTATTTTCAAATGTTAATAATAAAAAAATGCTTTTACTATGTACATCAGTCTTATTGTATTTTCATTTGAGGAAGTGACCACAAGGCGTTGCTTTACTTTCAGGTTGGGTGATTTAAGATTGAATTCAAAAAAGCATGTGTTCCTGTCCAATACCATAACGACATGGAGTCATTTTAGGAAGTAAAATGTAAGTTAACATTAATTATGTGACTGTTACTATAATGGGAAATAAGTGAAATCCTACACAGTATGTGACTGATACGTTTATCCATTAGCCTGAAGATGTTGGTTTTGGGAGGATGCTAAAGTCAGTGTGAGGACTTCCTCTGCCAGTCTTCATCCCTGACCAGTGACCAAATTTTATTCACATTCAGGGGCATTTCCTACTTTAAGAGGACACTAACAGTGTATCATAGTTACTGTTTAGCCATGCTTGTGTGGCTTTATTTCACTGTCGTTTATTCGCTACAACACTTTAGTCTTGACCAAAATATCTCGACAAAATTAATACAAACATTCAAGGTCCCCAGAGGATGCATCCTGAAGACTTAATCCTGACTTTATCTAGCGCCACCAGTAGGTCAGTTTTCATTTCATCCAGTGTAACATCTCAACATCTGTTGGAGGACTGATTAGCACAAGATTTTCTACAGACAGTCATGGTCCACAAAGGATGACCCCTACTGATCCTGGGTTCTTCTTCAGTGACACTATAAAGGTGAATTCATCCATCAGTGGTTCATATTTCTGCTTGGTTAATGACTAAAACTAAAGACAATCCCATGAGTTTTCGCTTTTTGTGTTTACCTCTACTTAGCAAGAATTAGCATATTAACATGCCTGTTACATGATAGCAAGTTAACATTGTAGTCTTATGTTAGCATTTAGCTCAAACCCTTGACTTCTTAGCCCAACACACATCTAATGTTCCTGATGAAAATGTCAGGAACATTTTAATGACAGAGGTCAGGTGAGACACATTTCCATGACAACAAAGCACCTGTGAACTTCAATCAGGGTTATAAGGCGACAAGAGTTGGAAAAAAGCAGTCATCTTTATTGAGCATGTTTTCACAACACTGAATACTTTTAGCCTTTCATCAGTTTGTATCTTGAATGTAAGTGTCGACTCAAATTTAATTTCATGAAAACTGCTTCCCTTTCCAAGATCAGGTTGACCTTTCACCTTTTACCTTCACTGGGCCGCAGAGCCCAGGTGAGCAGCATCTTCAACATTACAAAATGGGTACAAAGTAATGTCAAACAGCTGAGACCAGATCTGGGCTCAATGACGGTTGGACGTAGTCTGTTCCCCTTTGTTTTAACCCTCCACATGATGAACACAATGTGTTTACACAGACATACATGTCCTGCAGTGTTTCAGATACTCGTACTGAGCAGAGTGACTCAATTCCAAACAACCAGAGGGAGGTACCATCCACCATCATTCAGCCCAGGTCTGTCTTAAACCATGAAGATGAGAAAATAATGGATCAAAGACTGGCTCAGGGTGGTGGACTGTGGTGGTCTGAGCACCGTGGTTTAGTGGCATGTCCTGGGCACCATCCGGCACACAGAGAGTCAGAGTATCAGAGGACCAGCATCTCCTGGTCTGAAGTCACAGATTCAGCCTCCTACCAACCACCACCACTGATGTTACCATGGCAACACACACAAACTTCTCGTTGCATCACTACCTCCCTACATTGAGGACCTATCCTGTCTGTTAGAGTCCTGGTCCAAGGGAGCGGTTTTTAATAATCCAGGTGTAAGAAATTGTAACTTAATAGTTTTCAGTAGCTTTCAACCACATATCTTGGTTTTCATCAGTTACTGGAGTAAGCCAGGTTGTCATGAAGTTGGCTTTACCAATGAAAAGCTGGTCACATAATTCCAGGTGAGAAATGGTTTCTGGTGTGAGCCATCCACTTGCTCCTGGTCGATGACCTCTGACCCCTACCCAGTGAACAGCTGTTCAGACAGCTGATGTTTGTTTACATCTTAAACTGAAACAGCTGGACAAAGATCCAGGGGGACACCAGAGACTGTCTTTGAACACAGACCATCTGACACCTGAGCCAGCTTCACTTACTAACGAGGACCATGAGCTGTGGTTGAAAGCCGAGAAAAAGCTATTAAGCAGACCTTGACACAGAAGCTGTTCAGACAGCTCTACAGCAGCGTCGGCTCAACCACTTATCTGGAAGTAAAACAAAGGGTGAAAGTAACAGGACCAGGACTTAGTGGATATTTACTTCCGTAAAGGAGGTGTGTGATCCATCGTCAGAGTGTCACTAATCAGCTGATTGATTCTCAGATTTGACCCAATGATTGGAACCAATAGATGTAAGGAACTGTACACAGTTAGAACATCATGGAGAACATCAGTATCTTTAGCAGAGCACCCTCTTGGATCATCACGCTTCCTGTTAGAACTTCAGGTCACTTTCAGGTAAGTGGTTTAAACTCACTGTGTGTGGATGACTCGTGCAGCTGGTCCTGATGAACTCTACTGTCACAATCACAAACACAGATCTCTGCCTGTTCACAGTTCACATTCCAACTGTTCTAAAGACAGTGGTTACACCTGCTTTATCCTCATTTATCCAGATTAAATCTGATCACAGTGAAGAGTCAGAGAGGATCAATATCAGTGTCATCTCTGTGCACACAGTCCAGACCAGGACAGGTATCCTCACTTTGTGTGTACATAAAACTAAACTAGACAATGTACATGTGACAGATGTTTTCTTGCTCTACACAGCTGGATTCTGTGTCTTTGCCTCCAGATGACATTAACATTCATCCTCTCATGTAATGGTGGAAAATAAAGTCAAATCTAAATGTCACTGTTACTTTAAATGTTGTTCCTCCCCTGATAATGGGAACCAATCAGAGGCCTGTGAGAGACTCGTGAGTTTAGGTTCAGGGTGGAAGGACTGTGCTCAGACTGCTGGTCTGTCCTCACCCTGTCCACAACAGAACCTGGTTTTGTGTTGACATGACAGGTGTAACCACAGCCAGAGCTTCAGGTCCAGTGGACTGAAGACTACAAGGGACCAAAGCTCAATGAAAACGTGTGTAGTTTCTGTGTGTGTGTGTGTGTGTGTGTTTATTGTCTAAACAAAGCCAGAATCAAACAACACAAAGTGCTAACGGGGGTCTCACCTATCAGCTGACAGTACAGGAGGAGAGCTGTGTGTCTGAGGCCGTCACCAGTGAACATGCAGCGTTCTCTATCAGAGCTCCACCCGCACTCTTATATAAATACTGTTTATTTAGAATCAACACAGGAAGACATGGAAATAAAATGCTTCAGACAATCACGGCTCCTGTGGCCAGAAACAAACATTCTGAAAATGTCTAAGTGCACTTACACAGCTCTGACAAGGTTTGAGTCTAACCTGCGGTGATCCCCCTCTCCCCCCTCCTCCCTCCTCCCCCCTCCCCGAAAGGAACAAAGGCCCAGAACTAAACTGAAACGTCGCTAGTTGAAGATGTCATTCAGGACCAGGTGCTTACCTTGATCTACCTGGACCTAGCAGAGACAGTAAGAGATGATGTGAGTGGAATGGTCAGTGGGTACAGTATTGGTTCAGGTCTACTCTAAGACTAAGTCTCCTCTGTCAGCAGGCTGTGAGCTCAGGGCTACTCTAACACGTCTTTGTTCAATAAACGGGTTTATATTGACTCGTTAATGCGTCATCCTAAATTTACATAGTTTAATATTGACCCCCCCCCCTCTCCACCAGCAGGGGAGGGGCAGGCAGCCATGAAAATCACCCACTTAGCCTTGAAATAAATAATAAGGAAAAGGATCCTCTCTGTACATAGAAAAGAAGGGGGGGGGGGCTGCGGCACATTCACATGATGTGGATGTGGGGTCGGGGCTTTGATCAGGAGGTCTCTGTGCTTACACTGACTGATGTGGGATGATGCAGGCACAGAAGAAGAACTACAGCTCCTCTCTCATTATTAACTTGCTCTTCCTGGAAACATACTCTGCTCTGTCTTTGTCACCTTTACATTGTGTCTGATAACGGAGGGGGCGGGGCAGGGTTTGATGGGCGTTCTCAGAACGAGTCCCTGTGCTGGGTGGGTGGAGCTGGGGGGGGGAGGGGGGGGGGGGCGCCTCAGAGCATGCCAAACCCTTTGGCATAGGTGATGGCTTTCAGCAGTCTCTCCCTCAGCTTCTCCTTGCTGCTGTACTCAGGCAGCAGCAGCACGTTAAAGCAGGTGTGAGAGGTCGGTAACCTGCAGAGTGGAGGGACAGACACACACACAGGGTCAGTTCATCATGCACACACTGGCATGGTCAGTTCATATCTAACACGTCTCCCTCTGTGCATCTCACCTGTCTGTGTCCGGGCCGTTCTTGGCAATGATCATCTTCAGCTTGCCCAGCCCACCAACAGGTGCTCTGTCAGTGCCGGTGGTGAACTGCAGGAAGAGACGCTTCTGCTCCTCCCCGAACGAGTGCAATGTCTCCCAGAATTCCCTGCAACACAAAGACACATGTCAAATGCCAAATAGCGATCAGCGTTTCAACACAAACTACCCAGAGGAAGTAACACCAGACTGTCTCCATCATCCTGATGTAGATGGTGACAGGTTTAGAGGGTCTTTTACACTTACACACACACTTACTTACACACTTACACACACACTTACTTACACACTTACACACTTACACACACACACACACACACACACACACACTCTCTCTTACTTGATGATTCGAGAGTCTCTGTTCTAGCCTCCGTCATATTCTGTTGTTTCCTCTAGTGCGAGGAAGTCCAGGTTCTGCAGCGTGTCACACAGAAACATGGATGTAAATGACTTGAAATAATTTAAAATAATTAAAATTTAATTACTAATGATATTAAAGCGCACCCTGCTGCCACAGATGAGCAGCTCGATCTCCTCTGGTCTGAACAGGTACTTGAGTGGGGACTCATTGGTCACC